AAAAGGAAGTTTACTCTGAGTTCATTACAAAACTATCTATTTCAGTCATATTCCATATTTAGCAGGACAAAGGGCAACAGCAGGAAATACAGCATCACCAAGGTCCAAAACAAACTTGGTTTAGAATAAAAAAATACATATGTAAAATCATTCTTAGGATATTAAGCACTATACTTGAAAGAAAATTACACAGATTAAAAATTAAAAATTAAAGTCACAGCTTTAACACTACCAATAAAGAGAATACTGTCCTCTATTATTATACAGTTATAAAGGCAAAATGGGAAGTAATCTTGATCACACACTCTTACATCCATACGTGTATTTTTAAATAAATATATGCATTTTAAAAATAAATAGTAAAGATTACATTTTTATATTTCTTACCCTTGTGATACACTTATATACAATCCATTTTTCTCAACACCTTTGAGAGACATGCAAAATAGTTATTTTTTCCATTTGACAGATGAGAAAACTGAAATACAAAGAAACTATGTGACCTGTTTTCAGATCCTTAAGATCAGAAGCAGAACTGGGACTACATTTTGGCTCTAATTCTGTGCTTCACAAAACTTTTCAGTGTAAATTGAACCTCAAAAAAAAAAAGCTAAGGAAAAGAATGAACCATAAATTTCAACCCACATTGTCACACACATTTCAAAATGCCACACTTTTAGGTCACTTTGTACCTTTTTACTGAGTTAATGCATTTGATACTTTCCATTAGACTGAACCAAAATAACTTAATCTTATCAAAGAAGAGGCTCATTTTCTCTTCTGCATACTACAGTGACCAATTTAGCACTCCCAAAAGGCTAAAGGTCAAACAGAAACATATTCTTATGCCTATCCAAAGGAAGTTGAGATAAGGACTTTATGATGATACATATATGTCTTGTTCTATGCAATATATGAATTCCAAAAGGTTGTATAATAATGTAGGCACCAAAATTTTTCTCAGCACTGTCTCACCTACTATAAGCACATTAAGTGAAGAAACAATGTCAAAAGATACAGGAAATAATATGGTGCCCTAAAACAGAAAATAGGAATAAAAATCTATAGATATCAAAAATATAAATCAATTTGCCTTCTCTACTTGAGAAAAGTATGTTCAGACAAGTAGTTTATTACTGAATTAAAATACAGAAACAAGATTAAACCTGTTCAAATTAATGTTTAACTTAGAAAAGCTATATGAAATGCACTGTTAATGAAATCCTTGACCCGGGGGTGGGGATTGCAGTTTAGAGACACAAAAAATTACGACAACATAATTTGAATATTAGTAGTCTTACGTACTGGTGAAAGAACCTATAGAAAAGCAGGCACCTGGGCAATCAGAAATAATCCTGACTGTATTATACAATAATACCTACATGAAGTTAACAAAGAACCAACAAGGAAGATGCATATTTCTAACAATGTAATTAAACCCTATTCCTAGAAGGAGAAAGTAAAAAAGTTAAACCTGAAAAGTTTGGTTACAAAAACAAACTGCCAAGTTTTTCACCCAAATTCTTTTCAAATAATAAGGGAATAATATGTGGGGACTCATATACTAAAAGCTGAAACCAGTAATTTATTTTCATTGTACTTAAAAATCTTTAATTGCTAGTATTTAGGCTTGCAAATGAACCCAAACTAATAGGTAGAAGACATATATTCTTAGTATTTCTTTGATCAAGCAGTATTATCCAAGGGTTATTTCTTACATAGTTCTATTTAAACACCCACTAAACTTTTATAATTCTCAGTGGCAACTTTTAAAACATCACACTACATAGAAACACTATGATGGTATGTAAAAAATTGACCTATTGCTAATACACTGCAGAATACCTATGTCAAGATTACCAGAGGCAAATATGGAGAATGTCCTAACCTTACTGTTCTGAAACAGACCTTTGCAAATCTTCAAAGTTTTCTTTAATTAGGTATGTGTACAATGTTTGGTATGGATAACACACCAACTAGGGCAGCAAAATGGTAGATAATGTTAAAATTTTAATCACTAAAGATGAACCTGATCCTCAAGAAAAATAACTGGTCACCTTAGTTACATGCTAGTAAATCAAGTCATTATTCTGAAAACAGAGGAAGAATCAAATATTTACTCTGGCTGTCATCCCTTTAAGGAGCTGTCATCAAATAATTGATGCGGGGACATTTCTCTATATATATTCTACTAATAAATAATGAAATGATAGAATTGGACTATCAGTTTTGCAAACTCCTAGGGAAATAATTAATGGATGTAGGCAAAACTCACTGATGGCCAGGACACTCATGAATTATTCTAGCCTCCCCACCACCAAACATGAACCAATCAAGCCTGTAGATCTTCCAGTTTACAGACACCAGTAGAGAGGCACAATTAAAATCAAGGTAATTCAACCAGCAAAACCCAGACTAACAGACATTTTCAACAAAAGGTAGTGTGTATTTTTGTTTAAATATTGACTCAAACTGTGGGAAAATAAGGACATTTACTATACTAACAGGAAAACTTGAACACCATCCAAATATTTTATGTTTTTAAAGTATTACCATATTGTGATTATGTTTTTAAGAGGAGTATTTTATAAATATAATTTTTAGTATTTATGGATAAGATCATATGTTGTCTGGAATTTGTTTTAAAATAATTCAGGAGAAGAGACAGGGTAGTGGAGGTTTATAGATGAAATATTACTGAACATGAATTAATAAATTATTGAGCAGGGTGACAGATACAAAAGGGTTCACTGTAGTATTTTCCCTATTTGTACTTGCTTGAAATTTTCAGTTAAATAGAAACTTAAAAAAGAAAGATGAACTAAAAAATTCTATATGATAATCCATAGAATAAGAACAAAAAAACTCCATGTCTCTCAGAGGTCAAAACAAACAAATGAAAATCTTAATGGTGAAGCATTCTCCCTGTACACAAACCATTATTCAACAAATGAGACCCAAAGAGGTAAGTCTTGCTCAAGGTCACAAAAAGCAGCACAGCCAAAATTACATTCCACAAACAGCAAACCTAGAAAGAGATATTCTAAGTTGGAGCTAAGTTAAAAGAAGAGCTGAGCATTCCTGAAGTAGTCTGAAAGCCCTCAAAGGCATAAAAAAAAAGGGTCTTAAATTAATCAGGTGAAAAACAGGTCAAGTGGTTTGAAAGATTATATGCTAGAGTGAGAGCAATAAGGCTAGATACACAGTACAGAGAACAATTGGCAAAAAAACTGAGACGCAAAGTATTTGGTAATCATCCTCAGTGAAGAGCAAAAGTGTTCTCTGTATACTGTACATATTTGGAAACTACTTGTGAATATTTGGAAGTTACTTGATCAGGGTGTTTGCAAAAAAGAAAGTTAGCTTTCAAGTAGCTTACTCATGAACTGGTGAAACATAAAAGTCATTATTTTAAATCACGATTTTTTTAAAACAGTTGGAAAAAACTAGATCTTATTAAGTGCACAAATGATGTAAATTTTAAACATAAAAATGGGATTTAGCTTCCTATCTAGGAATAGGCTTCAAAATTTGACCATGAAGAGACTTCATTATTAGTATACTCAGACATTTTCACAAGAGTAACAATTCTTACTTAAAATCCTTCAAGAATAAAATTCTGTGTATGCCAACAAACTATCTTTTCAGTAAGCAGTGTCACTTAAATAACACATGAACTTGATCTAGAAACAGCATAACTAATTAATAAAGCAATGTAACCCCATTTACTTTGTCATTCTGAAAATGTAAAACCTAGTAAGCTTGATGTACTTTCAAATAAGTCTTTTTTAATTTACTAGATATTCACACTAAAAAGAATTTCAATTTTTTGCTGGCATGTGTTAGTGACAATTTTCAAAAATGTCGTAAACTAGATTCCTTTTTATTGGAAGAGTAGTCTATTTTTAAAAAGACATTTCTGGCATTAAGTTACACAGGACTAAAAATGACTTTAGAAATCCGTATTAAACATTTTGAAGTATATGTACTTCGGTACTTAAGAAATACCATACCAGGAAGTGAGAGAAAAAATTCCAATGTGACCACTAAAATTCAGTATTACAGATAACTGGACTGTTTGTGAATAACTTGTACTTAAAAGAGCTAAAAGCATAAAAAAGGATCTCAAAAGGATAATGCACACAGAAGCTGAGACTTGAGAACTTCACCACACAGACCTAAAGTAACTTAAGTAGTAAATTAGATGTTTTCTCTTAACTCTTGCCAGTACTTTTAAAGTAGTAAAGTAGCTCCTCTCTTGAAAAGTATGTTTTAAGTAGTCCCCTCCCCTCCAATAACCTAAAATTAAAGCTTACATGTAAAAAGTCACATAAAAACAAAGGGAGGAAATAAAACTATTTTTGAATGACAAAAACAAAAATATTAAGGAGTCCTAACGGATAAGAGCATGGACTTAAATTAGGCAGTACTGAGTTCCAGGCTCAGTTCTACTTCTCACTAGCCTTTAACTCTCCATCAGTTTTCTCATCAGTAAAATTGGTAATTACAACACCCATCTCACAGGATTCTTTGAGGATCAAATGAGACAACGCTCCTAAGGAGCTAACATCATGGCAAGCTTACCATAACCACCTTAAATAATCCTTTTTATACAATTTAAAAAGTTAATTATGAAAAAAAAATGGCCTTCTTGTAAAAATACCTCTATCCTACTACCACTAGCAGAACAAAAAGAAAAACACAAACAAAAGTTATGCTTATTTTTCTCTTAAGGTCATAATTTTCCTTGTGTAATTTTGGGATCACAAAAGACAAATATCAAATAACATCACAGTATTTGTAATATAACATAAATTAGTAGTATGCCAATATTGTGTGTGTGAAAAAGTGGAAAAGAGAAGAATCTTAGGTTTCTAAGTTTTTGGGTCATTACTATGAATAAAACACCACTATCCACTAAATACAGTGGTAATAGGACCAGTCACAAAATTCTATAACAAAGTATTTTGAAATTTAAAAATAAAAAGGAAAGCAGTTACCTTTGTACAATAAAGCATCCAAAGTTCAAAGAGCCTCTCTCTGGATGCCATTCTGGTTTTCACTCTGGCACTTATATTTTTCCTCCAAAAAAAAAAATTATGTTCAAGACCACAGCATGTTCACTTTATTTTCCAAGTTTTTCAGCCGTTACAGTAAAAGCTCAAAGCAGTAGGGAAAACAAAAAAAAAAGAAAAACAAATGGACTGTCTTCTGGTCAATAAAATTCAGTTTCAGCAATTACTCCAACTTATCTTCATCAGCGGTAATTGGGCAATTAAACAAATCTGCCAAAGAAAAAAATACACAAAGGTTTGCTAGAAAAAGAGGCCAAATTAAAAATTTAGATTTATCAGAACTAGAGATTCATCTACTTCACTTTCCACAAACAGCCGGCTGCGCTTCTATAATGACTGATTAGATTTCACAGAGCTAAACACAGTATTTCACATCAACATAAAGTCAGAATCCTCTTGAGCCGACTCATAAAAATGAGTACGCATAACCAAAAAAGCGACCAGTGATAATAAACAGCAAGACGCCATTCCCACTTAACATTTTCTATAAACATTACAAGCACACTTACGACGGACGTATTTCAAAGACACTAAATCCCTTAGAATTTTCTAGTCTGCTTCTTAAAACTTGGGAATGTTTGTCTCAGCGTTGCAGGGCAGGGCGTGGGGAGAAGGGTGAGGAATTCCTGGTTTGTTTGCTTTAACAATCCTCAGTGAGTAAAAGTCGACCTGCCCACCTGGCCTCTGCGTTTCCATCCAGGAAAAAGAAAGCAGCTCACGGGCACTGGGCAAGAAAAACACCCCGGGAAAGCCTCCGAGTGTTCTCGGGCATCTTTAAATTTCCTTCTCGCATCCCGGGAAAGCCTCCGAGTGTTCTTGGGCATCTTTAAATTTCCTTCTCGCATCCCAGACAACCGAAACGGAGGCAAACTTAAGGTGTGTCCAGTTGTCAAGAGAAGCTTCGGAAACGGACCACGCGACCTCGGCGCCTCCCGACTCGCTATCCTCGCCCAGGCGACCGCGTCAGGACACACCCGGGTCCACCTCGCCCCCTCACAGCCGCCCCTCACTCCACAGCGCGGTCACCACCAGGCACCCGAAGCTCCCCCACTTCTGCCACGCGGCCCCCTCTCCTCTCCGACCCGCACCCCCTCACCGCGCTCACTTGGGGGTGGTGCCGCCGCCAAAACGCCGTCTAACTTGCTTACTTCGCCCCCTTCCCAAGCTGAAGCCCTGTGTCATCCCGCAGCTGGGCAGGCAGGTCGGGGAGGGAGGTGGGGCAGCAACGGCGCGAGGCGGGGCGCAAGGGCCGGGAGGAGCCAGGGGCGGGGCTGCCCCCTCGGCTAAAAATTCCGGCTTCTAAGGATTTACCCGGCCCGGGGCCCTCGCTGATCATTGGTCCCGCAGGCGTGGAAGGGGAGGGGTGACGTGAACCCCGCCCCAGCATACCTGCGCAGTCGCAGTCGCCCCAAATCCTGAAGATGGCGTTGCTGGCGGCAGACCTGCAGTTCCAGTCGTTCTCCGACTGGAGCTGTAGGATGACGAACTTGCTGACGTTTACGCCCCGCCACCGCTGCTGCTGGGGACGAGCGGACGTAGCTTTTGGCTGATGGCGTCATTTCCAGGGCTCAGCTGAGGGCGGGGAACACTATAGTGATAACTAAAAGGGGTTTTTGTTTTGAATGCTTGTGAAAAGGGGATTCGTCCTGGGAGCACATAGCAGAAGTAGACGACTGCTTCCCCGTATCCTTTCCCCTTATCGCGTCTGCCCCGTACTCTCGCAGCCCCCTTACCGCGTCAGGACACACCCGGGTCCACCTCGCCCCCTCACAGCCGCCCCTCACTCCACAGCGCGGTCACCACCAGGCACCCGAAGCTCCCCCACTTCTGCCACGCGGCCCCCTCTCCTCTCCGACCCGCACCCCCTCACCGCGCTCACTTGGGGGTGGTGCCGCCGCCAAAACGCCGTCTAACTTGCTTACTTCGCCCCCTTCCCAAGCTGAAGCCCTGTGTCATCCCGCAGCTGGGCAGGCAGGTCGGGGAGGGAGGTGGGGCAGCAACGGCGCGAGGCGGGGCGCAAGGGCCGGGAGGAGCCAGGGGCGGGGCTGCCCCCTCGGCTAAAAATTCCGGCTTCTAAGGATTTACCCGGCCCGGGGCCCTCGCTGATCATTGGTCCCGCAGGCGTGGAAGGGGAGGGGTGACGTGAACCCCGCCCCAGCATACCTGCGCAGTCGCAGTCGCCCCAAATCCTGAAGATGGCGTTGCTGGCGGCAGACCTGCAGTTCCAGTCGTTCTCCGACTGGAGCTGTAGGATGACGAACTTGCTGACGTTTACGCCCCGCCACCGCTGCTGCTGGGGACGAGCGGACGTAGCTTTTGGCTGATGGCGTCATTTCCAGGGCTCAGCTGAGGGCGGGGAACACTATAGTGATAACTAAAAGGGGTTTTTGTTTTGAATGCTTGTGAAAAGGGGATTCGTCCTGGGAGCACATAGCAGAAGTAGACGACTGCTTCCCCGTATCCTTTCCCCTTATCGCGTCTGCCCCGTACTCTCGCAGCCCCCTAGTGTCAAGTACAAAGAGCTTGTTTTGCCCAGTACTAAAAGCTTCAAAAAGGTTTTGTTCTCTCAGGGAAAGAAAAAAAGAAAATGTCTGCACTTAATAGAAAACAGACAATTTGCAGGGGTGGAAAGTTGTTTAAAGGGTAGGGAAGACGCATAACTGATCAGGTTTGCTGCACCTAAACATTTTTTAAATTTTATTGTGAAAAATGTCAAGCACAAAGATAAAGTAGTATAATGTCTCATCTCGTTTCATCTATCCCAGCAGATGGCAAATTGTAATGATAAAGAGCAAATATTTTAGGTTTTGGAATCCATCCTGCTTGCAACGTAATTAACAAAAATCAAAATGAGAATAGCATTTCATGGTATGTGAAAATTAGATGAAATTCAAATTCCAGTGTTGTAAAGTTAGTACACAGGCATTCTCATTCCTTAACTTTTAATAGCTGCTTTCAGTCCAAGATGGCAGACTTGAGATTTCAAGTAGATGTTTGCAAATTGTGCCTTTCAGTATCTCTCCTTGGTTGTCTAACAGGAATGTGAAACTTAATATGTGAAACATTTGGGGGTAAAGGGAGAAATTACCCTTCCTTCAGGATCCCCTGTTTAGTAATGAGCAATTCCATTCTTCAAGTTTCTCAGTCCAAGAATCTAGGATGCATCCCTGCCATATTTCTCACATTCACTCTAATCCTTTCAGCTGTATCTTCATATAGGCCCAGAATCTAACCATTTTTCTGTACTACCACCTCCACCACCCTGATGTGACTTAGCACTCAGTCTCTTCCGTATTATTGTAATACTCTTCCAATTTGTCTTCCTGACCGCCTGTGCACTCTTCCCACCCCTGGATTTTTTCAACATAGCAACCAGAGTGATTTTCTCACATAGAAACAAGAAGTCACTGTCCTACTAAAAAAAACCAGTGGCTTCCCATTCTACTACTTAAAACAGCCATCAGGGACCTGTGTTTTCCCCCCACACTTCCCTCTCTAACTTCTTGAAATATTATTCTGGCCTTCTCTTGGTTCACTCGACACCTGGCTTCCTTGCAGATCCTCCAATTCACAAAGTTCACTCCATTCTCAGGTATTTACATAAACTATCCATCTACCTGGAATGCTCTTTCCCCATAGGTTCATACACAATCTTCAAGTCTCTGCTCAAGAATCACTTTGTCTGTTGCTCTAATCTGTAGCTTTGTGTCCTCCCAAAATTCTTATGTTAACATCGTAATCCCTAAAGTGATGGTATTAGGAGATAGTACCTTTGGAAGGTAAATAGGTCATGAGGGAAGAGCCCTCATTAATGGGATCAGTGATCTCATAAAATAGATTTCACAGAACTCCCTAGCCATTTCTAGCCCCGCTAGTTGATTTTTCTCTTTTCCATCTAATAATTCTAATACCAAGGCTGGTACCCATCACAGTTCTGGGATCATCCCAGTGTAGTATCTCCTTTCCTTTTCACTCACACGAAATTGCACTGGATTGCAGTGGAGGATTAAGCAGTTCTTTTACTGAAGGTGTCCCAAAGCTATAGGGAGTCAGGGCAAGATCAGGAGTTACTTTGTTTAGTTGTTTCCCTATACCACGAACAAGGAAGCACAATACCTCACTGCATAGGTTTAAATAAGATGGGTCTCCTAGATAATCCCCAGTTCCCTTAGCTCTCCCAGTGTTCATCAGTTCCATGTGCTCCTTCCAAAAGTCCTATCTTTAAGCCATTCCACTTCAATGTCCCCATTATCTTCACAGAATAAGAAAATGTGAGCCCCAGTGCCCTCTTGAATCTCTCAAATTCTGTTGCATTGAGATGGCATCTGGGTGACAGCTAGACGCCAACAGTCTTCCATTGCTGGGGTTTCTAATGGCTTAGTTATTTTATCCACAAAATGGGCTTATTTGGAAATAGCAAAGAATTGCAATTTGGGACATGCAAGCTACAGCAAAACCACAGGAAGTCCAACAAACAAAGGAAAGAAATGTTATTTAATGGAGAAGATGGAGGAAATTGGAAGGGATTGTTTTGAATGAAAGTCCATAGGAGAAAAGCAAGAGTTCAGGGTGAAGACAGTTTCTCATTGGCTGAGTTGCAAGAGTAGTCAATTTCTTGTAGGAGATGTATGGTACATCTTTTCCTTTTTGGGGTCTGTGATTGATGATTCTGTCCTGTTGATGATTCTTCTATTGGTGTCTATAATGGATAACTCTTCCTGTAATTGACATTGAGGGTCAGTTGGCTCCCCTTTCTAGCCTCCTGACTCCACTTTAGTTAGGTTTCCCTGCATTAATTTTCACTGGTTTTATTAATGGATCCTTCAACAGCACTTTGATATCTCTTCCCCAATGAAACCACTACCATTTTTTGTCTACACACCTGAAGGCAAACCCATTTGCCACCTTGAGAACACATTTTCTTAAAATGACTGTTACTTAGTTCAACCATTGTGGAAAGCAATATGGAGGTTCCTCAAAAAACTGAAAATAGAAATACCATTTGACCCAGGAATTCCACTCATAGGAATTTACCCTAAGAATGCAGGACCCCAGTTTGAAAAAGACATATGCACCCCTATGTTTATCACAGCACTATTTACAATAGTCAATAAATGGAAGCAATCTAAGTGTCCATCAGTAGATGAATGGATAAAGAAGAGGTGGTACATATACACAATGGAATATTATTCATCCATAAGAAGAAAACAAATCCTACCATTTGCAACAACATGGATGGAGCTAGAGGGTATTATGCTCAGTGAAATAAGCCAGGTGGAGAAAGACAAGTACCAAATGATTCATTCCTCTGTGGAGTATAAGAACAAAGAAAAAACTGAAGGAGCAAAACAGCAGCAGACTCACAGACCCCAAGAATGGACTAACAGTTACCAAAGGGAAAGGGACCGTGGAGGATGGGTGGGAAGGGAGGGATAAGGGAGGGGGGGGAAGAAAGGGGGCATTACGATTAGCATACATAATGTGGGGTGGGGGGCACGGGGAAGGCTGTACAGCACAGAGAGGACAGGTAGTGATTCTACAGCATCTTACTATGCTGATGGGCAGTGACTGCAATGGGGTATGTGGGGGGAACTTGGTGATGGGGGGAGTCTAGTAAACATAATTTTCCTCATGTAATTGTAGATTAATGATACCAAAATTTAAAAAAAAGACTGTTACTTAACAGTCTTGTAAAACAACATGACTACCCGATTTTCATGACAAAAGGCATATTCATAAACTGTAATGGCCCTGCCTAAATCCACTGGATAGTCTATGCTAAATTAGTTTCTCATATGACGGCACAGTTGGGAGTTTCAGTGCACCTCACCAGATACAAGCTTGAAATGTTATAAAAGTAATTAATAATAAAAATTATATCTGTCAAGACAGACTATTCATCTCTCTCAATCTGGGGATTATCTCCCCACAGAAAGAATTTCATAAAGAGAGAAATTGTAATCTCGGGTTACTTTTTCATAATGATTCAGAACAAGCAATACTGATTAGATTAATTTTTTGGGTAATGGAGTCTTGTATAATAACCTGAATACAGTCATTTCCTCTATGGGCAACCTGCCAACTGGAGTACATACTCATTTCTGCTAGATACTTTCCCTTGGACAGAGTTGGAGACATATGAACAAGTTTTTGCTCTTCAACCTACCTTTTCATAAATTCTATCTTGGCCATCTCCCTTCAGTCTATACCTTTTCACTTAACCTGCCTAGAGGCTTGTCAGTTTTATTGGTCTGTTCCAAAAAACCAGCTTTTGGTTTTATTGATTTTCAATACTGATTTCCTGTCATTAATTTCATTGATTTCTGCTCTAATTTTTATTTTTTCCTTTCTAGCTCTTCTTTTTCTAGCTTCCTAAGGTAGAAGTTTAGATGACTGATTTTAGATCTTTCTTCATTTCTTATATATTCAATGCTATAAGTTCCTGTCTAAGCACTGCCTTTGCTGGATCTCACAAATTCTAGTAAGTTGCATTTTCGTTTTCACTTAGTTTAAAATATGTTTTAATTTCTCATGAGATTTCTTCTTTAACCATACGT